GGGAGGGAGCGGCGCGTCTGCGGCTCGCCGCGGGGCATGGGCCCGCGGCGCCGTCCGACGCGCCCCCTCCGGTCCGCGGTGGGCCCGCGGGCCCGCGGCGGCGGTTACGGTCCGTCGCCCTGGGGCATGCAGAGCCCGCAGCTCACGGGGCAGTTTTTGAGGAGCTCCGCGTCGTAGGAAGGGCACGAGTAGCCGACCCAATCCGCGCACTTGTAGCCTTCCACGTCTTCGAAGTAGGGGTCGTCGACGCACTCAAACGGGGCGGACGTGGGCGCCAGGGTCGGGCCGGCCGTCGGGTCCGTGGGCGCGACCGTGGGCGAGAAGGTGGGAGAGAAGGTGGGCGGGGTCGTGGGCGAGGCCGTAGCGGGAACTTGGCCGGGTCGCGCTTACGTTCTCGCGCTGCAGGAGTCGCAGGAGTCGGCGCAGGGCGAGTGGTCCATGATGCATGCCATGTACATCGCGTCGCAGAAGATGACCTCGGGGGGCGGCATTTTCGCGTCTTGGGACCAATAGAGATTGTCCATCATGTCGATACCACCCACTATTTGCTCGGGAATCAGATAACTGCCGTCCTCGGACAAAGCTTGCTCCGCCCATGCGATCGTCGAGGGGCAGTGCATTTGGAATGAGTTATCTAGGTTCCACTGGATGAAAGAGGATAATGTTGAGGCGCCGCGACTAATTTGATAGTCGCCGTTCGCGCAGCCGAGCCCCTTGAGGCACCCGAGGTAGCCGAAACCCTGCTCGAGATAGTAGCCCGCATACTCGGCGCCGTTGGCGTCGCACGCGTTCCAGGCGTCTCTGTTCTCCGCCGCGTGGGCCTCCTTCTTCATGCAGACGCCCTTGCTGGTTAGAACCCACGTATCCATGCAAGTGCCTTGACCGCACGGCATGGGGTCCTTGAGGTATGAGCTGTAGTGACCCGTCACGCAATCCCACTCCGAGAAGTCCGCGCGCGCGTCGGCGTTCGCCTGGGACCACGTCAGCTCCGAGTAGCCGCCCGCCGCGACCGGGTCGAAGGTGAAGGGGTAGTGCTTGGTGGACTCCGCGTAATAGGGGCAGGTCTTGTCGAAGATGTCGCACTCGGTGGGGCACTGCGTGGAGTCGGGCAACTTACCCTCAACTCCTACCTCAACCTCGGACCTACCCTCAACTCCTACCTCAACCTCGGATGGCCTCCGGCCACCTCACCATCGACCTCCATACTCAAGGGCAGCCTCCCGGCTGCCTGCCCCTAGGTCCCCGGCTCGCTCCCCGCCTCGCCCCTGGCTCGCCTCCGCCCCGCCGGGTACGTGGCAGAAGCCTATTCCCCTCAGTCCTAAGCAAAGGCAATAGACTCCAGGTTAGACCCACGCGACTACCGCGCGCACCTGCTCTCCACAACCACCGCGCAGCCGCAGCAACCTTCTCCCTGCACTCCTTACACCTCGGAGAACCCGCGACAGCCTCCTCAAGCTGCGCGAGCGCGTCCCCGCGACGCGCGCCTCGACGCCGTCCGCGACGTCGACCCCCTTAGGCCGGGCTTGCATGCGCTTGGCGTGCACCGAGGACTCGAAGACGTAGCGGAGCGGGTCCCGGCGCGTTCGGGCGCTTGGATACCCGAGGGCGACGTCGTCGACGTTCCGCTCCGGCGACTGGTCGCGGACCACGCCGCCGGCGGGCCACGAGGTGGGAGGCCGTGTGTTGGTGGGGGGCGGGGGGTGGGTGGCGGGTGAGGGGGGGGTCGACACGGAGCGGGCGTGAAAGATCGAAGTGACGAAATGAATCCATTTTCATTTTAGTGAAGGTCAGGCATCAGAGACCCAGAGACTAGAGACCTGGGCATCGAGCATCAGACCTGGGTTTCAGACTAAGAGAGACCTGGGATTGAAACCCAGGCCCTCGAATTACGAAAAAAACCTAGAAGTCGCCCAGGGCGTGGTCCAGGTCGCCGGCGGTGGGCCACAGGTGGACCACAATCACCTCCATCACCTTCAGCAGCAGCAGCAGCAGCAGCAGCGTCGTCGTCGTCGTCGCCGCCGCCGCCGCCGCCGCCGCCGCCGCCGCCGCCGCCGCCGCGCGCGCGCGCGCGCGGGCATTCGAACCTACAATCAGACACAGAACGGCATAGGGAAGGCCATTTTAGCTCAGTGGGTGAAACTGTGACGGTAATAGACGGGATCCCGAAATCGAGTGGGCGCGCGCGCAGCCCGCAGCCGCAGTGATCGACCGAATGTACTCCGCCAAAAGGATGGGGCAGCGCCGGCGCAACTCACTGGCGTGCTCCAGTGCACTTCCTTGGCCCGGGATGGGCCCCGATAGCGGTTCTGGCGGCGTCGGGGCAGCCCAGACGTCGCATGCGCACTCCTGCGGACAAACGGGTTGGGGCATCCTGTCGTCAAGCGGCAAACATATCTGTAATTTATATAGGGGGGATAAAAAATGGACCTCCAAAAGACCTGGGTTTCATACTCAAAAAGACCTGGAAAAGCATCAAACCTGGGAATCAGACCAAAAGACCTGGGTTTAAAACCTGAGCATCGGACTTCACTATTTCATTTACACATTTTCGCTCGTCGTTTTCGAACGACTTTTTTACCAAGTACATGGCTCACGCGCCGAGGGGAAGGGGCGTGCTCGCGGGAGCCAATCCGGGGATATTCGGACGCGGGAGTTGACGATACACAAGACTCGCTCTTGATGGATTGCGGACCCCGGCAAGATCGAGCCTCTGAAAACTCCGACCCGCGGTTCCTCCCTGGGCCGCGGAAGGAGACGCGTCGAGGCAAGAATCACTCCGGAGCCTGAGGCCGAGCCTCTGAAAACTCCGACTCCTGCAGTTCCTCGCCCGCCCCCCTACGTTTAGAGACGCGTCAAGGCAAGAATCTGCAAGATCGAGGACCACTGGTCCCATCCCTAGAGCTCCTCGGCCGCCTCGTAGCGAGGCGCCAGGCCGGCTCCGGCTGAGCCTGAGGTCGAGCTCGAGTCCCCAAACCTCCGACTCCCGCGGTTCCTCCCGGGCCCCCTACGATTAGAGACGCGTCAAGGCAAGAATCTGGCAAGACCCCCTTTTTTTAAGACGCGAAAGCCCCCGAGGCCTGCCCCGGCTCGTAGGTCGCGCCGAGCGTGCGCTCGTGGCGGCCGTTGGCCCAGAGCCAGGCGATCCGGGGCCCGGCGAAGCCGTGCTCCGCGAGCGCGGCGAGGACCTCCGCGAACTCGCCGTCCGCGTGTTTGTTCGTCGCCGTGGGCTGCTTCAGCGTCAGCACGAGGGCCGCGCCGCGCCGCAGCAGGGGGCAGACGGCGGGCGCCAGGAGCCGCAACGCCGCCGCCGGGTGCGCGTTCGCGTCGCAGACGCACGCGTCGAAGCGGCCGCCGGCCGCCGCGGCCGCGAGCGCGGCGGTCGACTCCTGGACCCTCGCGCGCACGTGGACGAGGGCGCCGCCGCCGTAGGCGTCCAGCAGCGACGCGTCGAGGGCGCCCGGGTCGACGGCGGCGACGAGGGCCGCGCCGCGCTCGAGGCACAGCTGGCTCCAGCCGCCGGGCGACGCGCCGACGTCGACGACGCGCGCGCCGTCGCCCAAGCGAGCCCCGAAGCCGAAGACGTCGGCCGCCTCCCGCAGCTTGAAGTAGGCGCGGGACACGGCGTGGCCGTCGCGCTTCGACGCGATGACGGCGTCGTCCGTGGCGAACTCGTCGCCCGCCGCGCATACACCGACGTAGTAGCCCTCGACGTCGCCCCCGGAGCTCACGGGCTCGACCGTGAGGCAGTGGCTGTGGCCCCGGGGCGCGAGGGCGAGCCGCTCCGGCAGCGCCGCGAGGAGCGACCCCTTGAGCGCGCGGTCGAAGTGGACGACGAGCTTCGCGGAGGCGAGCGACTCGCAGCCGTCGTAGAGCGCCACCACCGCTCCGGCGACGGCGTCGGCGCGCGCCACGCGCAGGTGGCAGGCCGTCGCCGCGTGCACGAAGCGCCGCGCGTGGCCGTCGCGCCGCATCGCCGCGACGACGCGCTCCGGGTCGTCCAGCGCGAAGACGACGACGTCCTTGCCGCTGCCGCATTGCGTCGCCTCCGGGAACCGCTGCGCCATCCACTCCTGGGCGCGGAACTTGTGGCCGTGCGACACCTGCAGCGACGCGAAGTGTGCAGTTGACGCTTGTTGGAGCTCGACGCATGGCGCAGCCGCGAGAAGCTCGGCCATTGCGCTCGACGCCTCGCTAAGTTGACTCTTAGTTTGACGTCAACATGCAGTCACCGGCGTAATCCACAGCTGAAACCCGGCCCTACCGCGAGAAAAGCGACGCGGTCATGACGACGAGAACGCGAAGCGTCGCGCCTGCCGAGTGCCCGCGGCGGCGCGCGAACTGCCGCGCGGCGGTCGCGAGGGGCGTCTTCGCGCCGCATGCATCGAAGGGAAGCAAACCGCGTGGACTCCCGCACGTCTCGCGAGGGAAACTAGTGGCGACGCGACCGACCCATCGTCGCTTGAGGACGTAGCTGCACACGCGTGAGGTGCTTGATCATTTGTTGAAGTCAAGGTTGCCCCAAGAATTCTGTTGAGTTTGAAGGCCGAGCACTGAGCGCCCTCGCCGCCCGCCTTCGACGTCGCGCATCGCGTCCACGCGCACACGCAAGCATGCTCTGCCGCCTCGTCGTCCTCGCCGCCGCCGCCGCGGCCTTCGCGCCCGCGGGCCTCACCGCCCGGACCTCCGTGGCCATGTCGGCGACGATGAGCAAGGCGAAGCTCACTACCATGGTCAAGGGCCTCACGAAGGAGACCTTCGAGTCCATCTACGAGCAGGAGGCGTGGATCGTCGAGAACGGCGGCAAGACCTGGATCAAGAAGACGCTCAAGCGCGTCGACGAGAAGGCCAAGGCCTTCGGTCTCACCGTGAAGCCCGACTTCCTCGCCAAGGAGAAGCGCACGACCGAGGAGGTCGAGGCCGCCGAGGTCCTCGGCGAGGAGCGGGCGGCGCCGACGGCCGCCGCGTGGCGCGCGGCCTGCGACGCGGAGGGCGTCACGTCCTACGCCGACTTTGGCATCACGCTCGCCGCCTCGGAGGCCGCCGCGCCCGCCGCGCCGGCGGGTCCGCCGACGGCCGCCGCGTGGCGCGCGGCCTGCGACGCGGAGGGCGTCGCGTCCTACGCCGACTTTGGCATCACGCTCGCCGCCGCCGGCGTCGTCAGCAAGGCGCCGGAAGCCCCCGCGGAGGTCGCGGTCTCCGCGGAGTTGGAGGCCCTGGTCTCCGCGCTCGCCTGGGCGCCCGAGGCCGAGGCCGACGCGGCGCTCGCCGCGGATCAGGCCGCGGAGGCGCGCGCTCTCCAGCAGCAGGCCAAGGCCCAGGCCGAGACGCGCGCCGCCGAGGACGCGGCGGCCGCGCTCGCCGAGGCCGAGGCCGAGGCCGCGGCCGCCGCGGCCGCGGCCGAGGCCCGGGCCGCGGAGGAGGCCGAGGCCGAGGCCGCGGCCGACGCCGAGGCCAAGGCGGCCGCGGACCTCGCGGCCGAGCGCGCCGCGGAGAAGGAGCGGCTCGCGGCCAAAGCCGCCGAGGAGAAGGCCGCCGCCGAGGCCCGGGCCGCGGAGAAGGCCGCCGAGGCCGAGGCCGCCGCCGCCGCCGAGGCCAAGGCGGCCGCGGACCTCGCGGCCGAGCGCGCCGCGGAGCAGGAGCGGCTCGCGGCCAAAGCCGCCGCGGAGAAGGCCGCCTCGGAGGCGGCAGCGGCGCAGCTGCCGGTGTCCCCCGCCAAGGCGAGGAGGCTGTCGCTCCGAGCGGAGGGCCAGCGCGCCCTGGAAAGAGCGGAGGGGGAAGGAGCCTCCTGGACGACGCGTCGTCTGAAGCCGTAATCGAGACAGCACCCCTCTTTTAGTTGGCGCACGTGACGATGGGGACGCAGGTGCACGCCGGCGTCTTGCCCTTCCAATAATAGGCGATGCCACTGGCAGTCGGGATGGGAACGACGTAGTAGGATATGGGCCCCCACCAGTCAGGAAGTCGACATGCACCCCAACCATACGGATCACCCCCTTGATTTTCGAACGATCCCCACATGTTTTTGGGCAATCTGTTCGTATTCCGGACGCCGCTGCCGCAAGCGCAGCAGCCCCCCCCGCAACCGCCGCACGCCGACGGAATCCAAATGCAATCGCTGGTGGTGCTTCCCGGGTACCAAAAGGGAAACGAAAGGGAGCAGTACGTGACGAGGGACGGGGGAAAGAGGAAGCAACACGGTGGTTTGCACCAGCAGAGATAGCAGCCCTGGAACTTTTTCGCTCTCGCCTCCTCCTCCGGCAGCGAGTCGGCGTACTTCAGCGCCTCTTTAAAGGTTGGTCGTCTCGATGAGAACAACGTCGTAGCGCGCGTCAGATCAGCCCGCCGCAGCGCCGCCGCGCGCTCGTCCCGGATCTTTTTGCACGCCTTCTTGTGGCCGCGGTCGTTCCAATCGATCGTCTGGCAGTCCGAATTGCAATACTGCGTCGTTCCGCAGGGGCAGCTCAGCAGGGTTTTCGGCGTCGCCCCGCAGGTCGAACACGTCGATTGCGAGTTGTCTGGAGCAACTTGCGACATGCCGGGCAGCGTTACAGTATAATGCACATCGACGCTCGAATACTCAGCCACTTTTGGTCGTTGAAGTGAGTTGAGGCCGGAGATGTATTTCTTGACAGTCAGCTTTCGTCCAGTCAGGTCCTCCTCCTTCGCACCGTCGAGCGCCGCGTCCGCAGCCGCTGCATCCACCCATTGCAAAAGACACACCGCACCATCGCGCCGATTCACAGGTCTCAGCCAAAAACCATGCTCTGCCGCCTCCTCGCCCTCGCCGCCGCCGCCGCGGCCTTCGCGCCCCCCTCGGGCCTCACCGCCCGGAGCTCCGTGGCCATGTCGGCGACGATGAGCAAATCGAAGCTCACGACCATGGTCAAGGGCCTCACGAAGGAGACCTTCGAGTCCATCTACGAGCAGGAGGCGTGGATCGTCGAGAACGGCGGCTCGACCCTCGTCAAGAAGACGCTCAAGCGCGTCGACCACAAGGCCAAGAGCTTCGGCCTCACCATGAAGCCCGAGTTCCTCGCGGGCCACAAGATCATGGTCAAGCACAAGGAGAAGCGCGAGGAGTTCTTCGCGCGCAAGACCGAGGAGGTCAAGGCCGCCGAGGAGGAGGCCGCCGCCGCCGCCGAGGCCGCCGCCGCGGAGGCCGCGGAGGCCGCCGCGGAGCCCGCCGAGGAGGAGCCCGCGGCCGAGGAGGCCGCGGCCGAGGAGTAGAGCGCGCACCGGCTAAGGGGATAATTATCGCCGTCGTTTAAGCGCCGCGCGGACGAAGGCGTCGTCGCGCTCGCGGCGCGCCCAGTCGTCGGTCCAGAAGGGCGACGCGTAGGGCCGCGCGAAGTCGGCGGTGTCCGGCGGGTGGAGCCAGTAGTTGAAGGCCGCGTGGACGCCGCCGTCGGAGGAGACCTCGTGCCAGAAGCCGCAGGGCATGTAGAGCGCGTCGCCCGGCGCGAGGACGACGTCCCGGAACCGCGGCCGGCCAGCGAGCGCCGCGTACGACCCGCGGGCCTTGCGCAGCGTCGAGAAGTTCTCGGGCGGCGCGCCGGCGCCGTCGTCCGCGCCGCCGTCGTCCCCCGCGTCGTCGAAGTCGTCGCGCGCGCGGTCGTCGTCGAGGAGCGCGTCGAGGAGCCCCTCGGCCGCGTCGTCGTCGCCGTCGCCGAGCGCGTCGAGCGCCGCGTGGCGCCCGAGCGCGGCGTCGGCGCCGGCGTCACGGCCGTCGGCCTCGACGCCCGGGTTCGACGCGTAGACGACGCGGCCGTTGCCGTGGACCCGGTGGGGGGCGCCGCCGCGCGGGCGCATCGCGCGCGTCGCCTGGGCAGCAAAAGGGTGATTCAACGTCGCTTCAACGTGAGTGTTCCGCGCGCGCGCGTTCCGGAAAAAGCATCCACGCTTCGAGACCGTTCCAAGAGATGATCGCTCGTCCAAAAATCAGCCGAAACGAGCGGAAAACGGCCGAGATAGGAGCCTTTGAAGTTGGGAATTTCGCACTCTTTTCCTGCCCCGCGCGTCGCCGACGGGTCCCAGAGGCGGATCCGCTTCCGGCCGCAGACGAGGACGAGCAGGTTGTCGTGGAAGTCGTGGTGCAGGCCCGACGAGTTGGCGTCGAAGGCCGCCCCGGCCGGCGCGCCGCCCATCCACAAATTCGCGTTCGCGACGACGAGCGTCGGCAAGAGCGGCGGCGACAGCGGCGGGCCGCCGGCCGCGAGCACGAGCGACGCGCAGGGCTCGCCGCAGATCTCCGGCCGGCCCTCGTCGTCCTCGCCGAGGGGCTGGGTCGTGAGGTAGTAGGGGCAGGGCGCGCCCCGCCGCGCGGCCTCGGCCGCGGCCGCGGCGAACGCGGACACCGCGAGCCGCCGCTCCCGGCCGAGGCCGAACGCGCGGCCGCTCGCGTCGCCCGCCGCGCGGAGCTCGACCTTGACCTCGGCGTCGCCGCAGGCGCGCGACACGGCCGCCACCCACGCCGCCGCCGGATCCGCCGCCGTCGCGCAGCGCGACACGCAGCCGAGATCGGCGGACGCGCAGTAGCGCCGCAGGAGGCACGGCGTCCGCGTCGCGACGAAGCGCCGGAAGAAGGTCGCCGCATCGACGGCGCCGTCGACCGTGGCGATGGGCTCGTTGATCCACGTGCACCGAAAGCCGGCGTAGCCGCTCGCGTCGCGCCCCTGTGCGCGGCGCCGCAGCCGCCGCCGCAGGCGGCGATGGGCGCGTGTCATGCGCTAGTTGCGTTGCAAAGCGCGCGGTTGCGTTGCAAGGCTGCTCGCAGCGCGTCTCGAAGCGACGACGGCTACGCGAGGACGCGTCGCCGTCGGCGGGAGCTGCGAAAAACAGCCTCCATGCCGCTTGCCTCAGCGCAGAGATCGCCGGCTCGCCGCCTCGACCTTGTGCACCCCGCTCGACCGCGCGCGGGACGTGACACGCACTCGCACGCGAGCCACGACGCGGCCCGGGACAGCGCTCGGACCCCGCCGGCGCGTCGCACGAAAAAAACATGGCCGCGGCCGCGAAGGCCGTCGGCGTGCCGATTAAGCTCCTCCACGAGGGCGAAGGCCACATGGTGCGTCCGCCCCCCCGCGGCGCGCCCCGCCGACGGCCGCGCGACGACGGGGACCCCGCCGCGACGCCGCACGCGCGCGCAGGTGACCATCGAGCTGAAGAACGGCGAAATCTACCGCGGCCACCTCGACGAGTCCGAGGAGACGATGAACTGCCTCGTGACGGACGTCGTCGTCACGGCGCGCGACGGCCGGGTCACGAAGCTCGAGAACGTCTACATCCGCGGCTCCCAGATCAAGCGCGAACGCCGCGCGTTTCGCGTCCGCGTTTTCGCGCGGTCGACCGCGGCGCGCGCCCGCAGGTTCATGATCCTCCCGGACCTGCTCAAGCACTCGCCCGTCTTCGAGAAGGTCAAGGAGCTGAAAAAGGCGGACGACGCCAAGCCCCGACGAGGCCAGCGCAAGTGAGCGCGCGCGCGCGCTCGCCGCGGCGTGTGTAAAAAAACTTCGGAAGTTACCCGTCGAGGCCGACCTGGTTGCGGGGCTTGGCGGCCTTCTCCTCCTCGGCCTTGGCCTTCTGCTTGTTCATCTTGGCGAGGAGGATCTCGGCGTTGGGCGTCTCGATGACGTGCCTCGGCGCGAGGTCGCCGACGCCGGCGGAGTTGCGCGCGCGGACCTCGAAGGCGTAGAGCGTCGAGGGCTGGAGGCCCGTGATGATCTTCGTCGTGCAGTGCAGCGTCTCCGTCGTCCACTTCTCGTCGGAGCGGCCCTGGTGGTCCTTGACGATGCGGTACTTGAGCTCGTACTCGAGCGTCGGCCGGAGCCACTCCGTCGCCCAGGAGATGTGGACCTTGACGAGGGCGACGGACTCCGTGACGCGCCGCGCCGCCTGCGTCGGCGGGATGCGGGGGTCGTCGCTGGGGATCTCGTAGTGCTCGATGCGCGACACCTCCTCGAGCGTGAGCTTGCACGTCGTCTTGGGCTCGCGCGGCGCGCGCGGCGCCTTCTTCGGCCGCTTGAGGAGGCGCTCGATGACGGCGGCGTCGGCGTCGTCCCAGTGGCAGTTGCCCACGACGTCCAACGGCACCTGGCTCATGTAGCACTTCTCGTCCTCGTCGACGCCGTTCTCGAGGAGCCACTCGACGATGGCCGCCTGGCAGTAGGCGGCGGCGATGAAGAGGCACGTCGTGTCCTTGAACTGGAACCACTTGAGGGACTCGAACTCGAGCTCCCAGTCCTCCATCTCCTTGGTGAAGCGGTCGTGGAGGAGCACGGGCTGCTGCTCGCAGAGGTCCTGGATGATCTTGAGCTCGCCGTCGCGCACGGCGCGGAAGGCGACGACCTGCCAGCGCACGCCCGAGTTCGTGTAGAAGTGGACCGCCTCGCCCTCGGGCATGGTCGTTCTTGCGCTCAACGGTGGTGGGCTGCGCAGCCCATAAGCGGTATGCTGCCCTGTCCTGGTTGTTTGAGGTCGCGGTTGCAGTGCACTTTTGCCACAAGCCTGGCGAACACCTCGAGCTGAGATCTCAGTGCGCCCGACCCGCCCAATCACAATGATGAAGGTTGTCCTCGCCCTCGCGCTCGGCGCGGCCACCGCCGACGTCTACCGCGTACGGCGCCCCGCGTCCGACGCCGTCGCGCCCCCCCTTTCGACCCCGAAAGAGCGCGAAACCCGGGGACGGCGCCCCCGCGGAAAACAGCCACGTTGCGCCGCCCGCCCCCCGCCGCGCGCGCCGCCCCCCCGCCGACCCGCGCCCGCCCGCCCAGGTCGCCCTCCAGAAGATGGACCGCGAGTCCTTCTCCCCGACGTTCGAGACGACGCCGAACAAGTTCCTCGGCGCCGGCGCCGACGACATCATCATCAAGGACTACCAGAACGCGCAGTACTACGGCGAGATCTCCGTGGGCACGCCGCCCCAGAACGTCGCCGTCGTCTTCGACACGGGGTCCTCGAACCTCTGGGTGCCCAACAAGAAGCCCTTCCTCTCGAAGCACGCGATCTACGAGAACAAGAAGTCGTCGACGTACGTCAAGAACGGCACGGAGTTCAAGATCCAGTACGGCAGCGGCCCCGTCTCCGGCGAGTACTCCCGCGACACCGTGGCCATCGGCGACTACAGCGTCGCCAACTACCTCTTCGCGGAGGTCGACGACACGTCGGGCCTCGGCATCGGCTACCGCCTCGGCCACTTCGACGGCATCCTCGGCCTCGCCTGGGGCGGCATCTCCGTCGACGGCGTGCCGACGCCCCTCGAGGCCCTCGTCGCCTCGGGCCAGCTCGACGACGAGGTCTTCGCCTTCTCCCTCGGCGACGACGCCGACGGCGAGCTCGTCATCGGCGGCGTCGACGACTCCAAGTACGAGGGCGACTTTTCCTACGTGCCCCTGTCCCAGAAGTCCTACTGGGAGGTGACCCTCGACGGCCTCGCCGTGGGCGCCTCCGGCAACATGACGACGGCCGTCAAGGCCATCGTCGACTCGGGCACGTCGCTCCTCGCGGGCCCGACGGCCGAGGTGAAGAAGATCGCGGAGCAGATCGGCGCCAAGTCCGTGCTCGGCAAGGAGTACACCATCGACTGCGACGCCAAGGCCGACGACATCGTCTTCACCCTCGGCGGCAAGGACTACGCGCTCGCGCTCAAGGACTACGTCATCGAGGACGCGGGCCAGTGCCTCTTCGGCATGATGGGCATCGACATCCCGGCGCCCAACGGCCCCTTGTGGATCCTCGGCGACGTCTTCATGCGCAAGTACTACGTCAAGTTCGACATCAAGGGCGAGCAGATCGGCATCGCCACGGCCAAGTCGTCCAAGGCCGACGTCGGCTACGCGACGGCCTAGGACGCCGGCCCCGCGTGGAACCCCCAGCGCGCCAAGAGCGCCATCCGCCCGCTCCCTTATTTTGCGAGAATCTAGCGGGAGTTTGTGGTATACTTCGACCTCCTTGTAGCAAAGCAACTGAAGAATTCTTGAAGTGCGAATTCTTAATCGAGTTGATCATGATGGCGATCTGGGCAGCCCTCACGCTAGCAGCGGCCTCCGCGATGGTGCGCGTCGACGTCGACGTGCACGGCCCGACGACGGCGCTCGAGCCCTATTGGAAGCGCAGTTTCGGCTCGGGCCACGCCGCGCTCGGGCTGCGGGACGACTGGCAGGCGGCGCTGGCCCGCGGCGCCGAGGCGTACGGCCTCGCCGGCATCCGGCAGCATGGGATCTTCGATGACGACATGGGCGTCGTCTCCCTCGACGCGGCCGGCGAGCCCGTGTACAACTTTACCAACATCGACGTCCTCTGGGACGCGCACGTGCGAAACGGCGTCGCGCCGCTCGTCGAGCTCTCCTTCATGCCCCTGGCGCTCGCCAACTGCTCGTCGGCCGCGCGGCCGTCGTCGCTGCCGGCCTGCGTGCCCAACGGCTGGGTCCGGACGGGCGTGCCGTTTCCGCCGCGGCGCTGGGACGACTGGCGCGACCTCGTCGCCGCCACGGCGGCGCACGCCGTCGACCGTTACGGCCTCGAGGAGGTGCAAACGTGGCGCTGGGAGGTGTGGAACGAGCTCTGGGGCGTGCCCGGCGCGTCGGAGACTGCGCTGGGGAACTACACGCGGACGTTCTACGCCGCGAGCGCGGAGGCGATCAAGGGCGTCGACGCGACGCTGCGGGTCGGCGGGCCCGCGTCGGCGGGCGCCGTCGTCTTGCCCGCGTTCATCGAGGAAGTCGAAGCGCTGGGTCTGCCGTTGGACTTCGTCTCGTCCCACTACTACGGCAACGCTCGCGAGTGCCCGCCGGGCTGGGGCTCGAACGCGACGCTGAACGGCACGGCCCCGCCGTTCCAGAGCGGCAACGGGTCCTACTCGGCGTCCTGCGGCCGTGACGATTTTCGAGAGATTTTGACCGGGGAAAGGATGACCGACGCACTTGGTAGGTTCTACTGGAATCCGGACTGCTTCGCGAAGGGGCTCGTGGCCTGGGCCAAGAGCTTCGTGCCCGACAAGTATCCGTTCTACGTGACGGAGTACAACGTCGCCGTCGGCGAGAACGACGTCGCGCACGACACGTCCACGGCCGCGGCGTTCCTATGGCGCACGATCGGCGCGCTCGACGGCGTCGCAGACGTGCTCTCCTGGTGGGCGTTCTCCGACATCTTCGAGGAGGCCGGCCTCCCGACGACCGAGTTCGCCGGGTTTTACGGCGCGCATCCGGCGCTCCTTTCGTGCGGGGGTTTCGCGCGACGAGAGGAGTTCCACCGTAGGCCTCGAGACCATCTCCGGCATCGCCAAGCCCGCGTTCCGCGCGTTCCAGCTGCTCCACGAGCACGCGGGCCCGCACCGCGTCGCCGCGACGGTGTCGTCGTCGGGGGACGCGGCGGCCGACGGCGGCGCCTGCCGCCTGACCGAGGACCTCGGGTGCTGGGACCAGGACGTCGCCCGCGACGGCGGGTGCCTGCCCTCGGTCGACGACGCCGGGGGGCCGTTCCCCGCGACGACGCCCGAGACCTGCGCGGCGTTCTGCTACGCGCGCGGCGCGGCGGACTCCGGCGCCGCGCCGGGCGCCTACGGCGGCGCGGTCAGGTACGTGGGCCTCGAGGCGGGGCGCGAGTGCTGGTGCTCGTCCGTCGGCGTCGCGGACGAGGCGCGGTGCCCCCGGGCGGACGATTCGGACTGCGACGCGCCCTGCGTCGGCGACGCGAGCCAAAGATGCGGAGGCACCTGGCGCCTGCGCCTCTACGCCGTCGACTGCGACCCGCCGCCGCCGCCGCCGCCGACGCGGACCGTCGACGCGTTCGCGACGCGCGACGGCGCCAAGGTCGCCGTCTTCCTCTCGAACTGGGACGCGCGGCTCCCGCCCCAGGGCTGGTCCGACGCGCCGGCGCCGACGACCGCCGTGACCGTCGCCGGTGTCTCGGGCGATCTCGAGCTCTACCGCATCGACGAGGAACACGCGAATCCCCGCGCGAGATGGCTCGCCATGGGCGCGCCGGCCGTCCCCTCGACCTCGCAGCTCGCGGAGCTCCGGGACGCGTCGCGCGTCGCCGCCGAGGTCGTGACGCTCGACGCCGGCGCCGTGGCCCTCGAAATGCCCGCGAACGCGGCCTACCTCCTCGTCGGGGCCGCAGCCTAGCGCGACGTAAAGTACGGCGCGCACCGTCGACTGTTACACGACCATCTTCCCCTCGGTCACCCCCGGCGACGACCCGCCCGTCGGGAGCATGCCGAAGAAGGAGGAGATCGTGGACGTGCTCGGCGACGCGTCCTCCTCGACATCGTCCTCCTCGGGCGCGACGGACTGCTTCGACTCGGACCGTGGCCGGTCGTGGCGGCGCGCGGCCTTGGTCTCGCCCTCGGCGCCGTAGGACTGGCCGCCCGCGAGCTGCTTGTACGCGCTGGAGAACTGGTCCTCGGTGAACATGCCCTCGACCATGCGCCCCTCGATGTTGAAGGAGTAGAAGACCGTGATGGCGATGGCGACCATGGCGCAGAGGAACACGGTGAAGATGACCGTCGTCACGATCTGGCTCGAGTCCTTGTGCAGCGCGATCCAGGCGTAGAGCATGCCCTCCATGTGGAAGCTCACGACGCCGGTGGCGAGGCAGTAGAGCACCTGCTTCTGGTATCTCCGCATGCCGTCGACGGCGCGCTTCAGCGAGCCGTCGGGCCCCCGGAGCGCGAGGCCCGGCCCGCGGACGTTGACGATCGTGCACGTGATCGCCGCCGCCATGCAGCACCCGACCGAGAGGCTCGCGAAGCCGTAGAAGAAGTCGACGGCCCACGTGTTGTTGCCGTCGAGGAACCCGTCCGTGTCGTAGGCCGTGGGGATCAGGATGCCGCTGAACGCGAAGCCGCCGATGACGCTCGCCATCGTGTTCATCGACCCGAAGTTGTTCTCGAAGTACGTGAGCTCGCTGCTCTGGAGTTGCGCGCCCTGTTCGGCCACGGACGCCTCCAACAACTTCTTCTGCGCCGAGAGCATGGCCTCCGCGCCGCCGCCGCCGCGCCGCGCCGGTCCCGCGCCGAGCCGGGCTGCCTCACCGCGGCGCGCCCCGACTGGAATCGATCGAAACAATCGAAGTGCAGGTGTGGTGAACGGCAACGTTGGCTGGGCAGCCTTCCGACATGGGAGGCGTATTCCTGGTCGGAATCGCGGGTGCGCTGGGACTCGCGGGCGCGCTGGACCGCATCCGCGTCGAGGATGGCGTGCTGAAGGACGCCGCCGGCCGCGCGCGCGTCTTCCACGGCGTCAATGTCGTCTACAAGGCGCCGCCCTGGCACCCGCGCATCGACGCGTTCTCGAGCAACGACTCGCTCGTGGAGGAGGACATGGCGCAGCTCGCGGCCTGGGGCTTCAACGTCGTGCGCTTGGGCGTCATGTGGCCCGGCGTCGAACCCGAGCGGGGCAGCTACGACCGAACCTACCTCGCGACGATGCGGGGCATCGTCGCCCGCCTCGCGGCCCGCGGCATCTACACCATCGTCGACTTCCACCAGGACGCGTTCTCGCAGGAGTACTGCGGCGAGGGCTTCCCGGCCTGGGTCGCCGACGCGCTCGAGCCCGTGGCGACGTCCTGCGACGAGACCTGGCTCGCGGAGTTCGGCCGTCTGATCGGCCAATGCGCGCCCATCGCGTCCTACAACTTTACGACGGACCCGGCGACGGGCTTCCCGGACACGGACGAGTGCCTCGCGCGCGACTTCACCATGTATAGTCGGGCCCCGGAGGTCACGTCGAGCTGGGGCAAAGTCTTCGCCAACGCGTCCGGCGTCGCCGAAGCGCTCGTCGCGTACTGGGCCGTCGTCGCGGAGACGTTCGCGGGCGTCGAGGGCGTCCTCGGCTACGATCTGGTGAACGAGCCGCTCAACGGGGACTTCTTCGAGGACGCGACGCTCCTGGAGCCGGGCGCCGCGGACCGGCGCCTCCTCGAGCCGCTGTACGCACGGATGGCCGCGGCCATCCGGGCGAGGGACGCCGACGCGATCCTGTTCTTCGAACCGACGCCGTTTCCAGACACGTTCCCATCAGCGCCCTGCATCCGTGACGGCTTTCGAGAGATTTCGGCTGGGAAAACGAGGAAAAATCGTCACCGACGCATGTGGTAGGTACCCGTCGAACATCCCCGTCCTCGGCGGCGTCCACGCCGCCGGCTTCGCGGAGGCGCCGGGCGGCAACGCGGCGCTCTCCTACCACATCTACTCGTGCGGCTTCGCGGCGACGGACTGCGATCGGAACGGAGACGTGCCCGGCGTCGACTGCGACGCCTGCGACGCCTTCGCCGAAGCGGCGGGCGCGACGCGGTCGTCGGACGCGCGGAGGCTCGGCGCGGCGGCGTTCCTCACGGAGTTCGGCGCCTGCAGCGGCTCCGCGTCCTGCCTCGCGGAGATCTCGCGCGTCGCCGACGTCGCCGACGCGCACCTCCACTCCTGGGCCTACTGGCAGTTTGAGTCAGCGTCCCGCGGCCGCGACGGTTTTCGAGCGCTTTTGACCGGGGAACCATCGTCAGGTTCAAGTACTTCAGAGACGTCACGACGGTCTCCGGCCCCGCGGAGAGCTTCTACGACGCCGACGGCGCTCTCCAGGACGCCAAGGTCGCGGCCCTGCGGCGGACCTACGCTTCGGCCGTCGCCGGCGCGCCGGCGTCGATGCGCTACGGCGCCGGCGGCGCGTTCCGCCTCCGGTACGCGGCGGCCGGCGGGCTGACCACGGAGGTCGTCCTCGACGGCGCGGGCCCGCGCGTCGTCAGCGTCGCCAACGCGACGTTCGTCTCCGACGGCGCTCGGTTGACCGTCGCGGCCGGCGCCGGCGCGGCCGTCGACGTCGCCGTCGCGCGGTCGTCGACGGCGCCGACGGTCGGTGCCTACTCGTACGGCGACGGGCTCGTCCGCTGGACGCGGCGCAACGGCACCGCGGGCTTTTCCCTCGCGTCGAACGGAACCGGCTGGAAGGGATGCTACGTGAAGGACGACGCCGGCGCGACGACGTGCGCGTTGACGACCGACGGGCCCGCCGCGTGCGACGCGCTCGACGCCCACGGCCTCCTCTTCGACTACACCATCGAGCTGTGGCGGGCCGAGCTCCTGGGCATCCACGCGAAGGTCGCCACGATCCCCGCGTCCTACTTCGGCCCGCTCCTCAAGGAACGGGTCGAGTTTGAGTGGGAGGACGCCTAAGTCGGCGTCGAAGCCGTGGTGGTGGACGCGCCGGAGATTGCGCACCGATCGACCGGGCCCTGCAGTGGCCCTGCGCTTCATCAACTGAGTTGAATCAAGCCTTGAACCAACCTTGAAGGTGAACATTTAAAGCTGCCACGATGGTGATGGTGGACTAGCATCTATGCTCGTCGCGGCTGCCCTCGCCGCGCTGGCGTCGGCTTCGGACCCGTGGGCCGCGGAGAAGGCGCGCGTCGAGGACTGGGTGCGCCGCGGCAAGGGGACCATCAGTTTCCTGCACGTCCACAAAGGCGGCGGCACGACCATGTGCGAGCTCGCGCGGGCCAACGGCATGCGCACGCAGCGCAACGTGGCCCACAGCGCCGCCTGGGCGGGCCACAACTGCAACCCGACGAAGGAGGACGCCTTCGACGCGAACAAGGGCCTGCCCGAGGCCGCGGTGGCTTACGCGGCGCGTATGCGCGGGTCGGGCGCGGCCGCGGGCGTCGTCCGCGAGGGCGCCGCGGCCCTCGGCGGCGGCGGCTCCTTCTTCTTCGCCAACGAGGGTCGGTTGCCCGCGGCGCTCGCCTTCGGCTCCTTCGCCTTCGTCGCGGTGATCCGCGAGCCGTTGAGGCTCGCGGTGTCGCTCTACGGCGCGAAAGCGGACGCGGCGCGCCTCGCGACCTACAACAACCGCCAGCTCTCGCTCTTCATCGGATGCGCGGCGTCCGTCCAGCGCCTCGTCGACGCGGGGAAAGCGACGGCGGAGACGCAGCTCGCGAGCTTCGAGTACGGCGACCGGCGCCGGCTCGCGCGGGAGAAGACGCGCGAGACGAAGCGCTCGCGGCTCGCGAGCTTCGAGTACGGCGACCGGCGCCGGCTCGCGCGGGAGAAGAAGCTCTCGCGGCCCGGCGACGCGGCGCGGGGCCTGCCGACGGGCCGCGCGTCGGACGCCTTCCGCGGCGCGAAGAACTCGAACAAGGCGCTGACCCGCGCGGCGGCCAAGGAGGAGGCGTCGCGCGCGAACTGCGACCAGTCCACCGCCGCGGACCTCGGCGACGCGGACCTCGCGGCCGCGAAGCTCCGCGTCGGCCGCTTCTCGCTCGTCGTGCCCACGGAGCGGCTCCGCGACGCCATGCCCCTCTTCGAGGCCAAGTTCGGCTGGCGGCCCCGGACCTACGCGCGCGCGGGCACGCACAAGGGCGCGGCGTCGGACTACGACGCGGGCGCACTCGCGCGCGTCCGAAGCGACCCGGCGCTCGCCGCGGCCTTCGCCGCCGCGTCGGCCCTCGACCGGGACCTCTACGCCTACGCGCTCGCGGCCTTCGAGGCGCAGCTGGCGGCGCTCGCGCCGGACCCCCCGAGCGCCGCGGGCCGGGACCGCGTCGCCGTGCTCGGCACGCTCCGGGACCAGGGGCTCCTCGCGGGCGGCGAGTACGACGCCGCGCTGCGGCGCGCCAACGGGAGCCGCGCGTGACTCGGTCGTAGGTCGCCCGCGAGACTTAAGATGGGGGGTTCAAGTTGCGGGGCGCGAGTCGGGAAAGGAGCGGGGCTAAAACTGGAGTTCGAAGCGAGGGGGGGTCAAAATCGAGCGGCGGCCGTCGCGCGTCGCTTACCGCGAGTCGTCGTCGGTCGTGCTCTTGACGATGGAGTGGACGACCATGTTGGCGACGCCGCAGGCGTTGGAGCCGCGGACGAGGCGGTAGTAGCCGTCCTCGCCCCAGACGTCGTCCCACGAGTTCTTGATGACCCAGTAGGGCACCTTGCCGTTGCCGTCCGTGTGCTGGACGCCGTAGCCGACGACGAGGACGGCGTGGTCCAGGGACGTCGGGTCGCAGGTGAACATGTCGCCGTCGCCGTCCTCGTCCGGGTGGGACACGGAGCCCGCCTCGCAGTCGTCCTCGGACGTGCAGCCGACGACGCCGTGGACGTAGTAGTCCATGCCGTTGGCGTTGAAGGCGATGCTGAGGGGCCCGTTCTTCACCAAGGTCACGCGCATGAGCGACTCGTAGTCCGCGCCCATGGCGACCATCTGCCAGCCGGAGATGTGCGCGACGTCGCCGTCCTCCAGCTTCTCGTTGAGCAGCTCCTTGTCGCACGACGGCGTGCCCGTCGGGTTCCAGGCCGCGTCGCCGTACACAATCTTCTTGTAGGGCATGGTCTCCCAGGTCACCATGCCCCCGAAGTGGGACAGGTACTGCATCGCCGCGAACGGGTAGCCGCCGTCGCAGCCGAGGTTCATCGTGTTGCACTCGACGAGCTGCTGGGGCGCGTAGGACTCGAGGTCGCCCGTGGCGAGGTAGTGCGTGCCCTCGAGGTCCGCCGCCGTGGAGAAGGACCAGCAGGAGCCGCAGTAGGCCTGGTTCTTGACGCGCGTGACCGCGCCGAGCTCGCGCCAGTCGAAGTCGTCGGGGAGGTTGCCCATGTCGTACTCCCCAAAGGCCGGGTACAGGTTGCAGGCCGCGCAGTCGCTGCCCGACGCCCAGCCGACCTCGCCCTGGCTCAGCTCGTAGTCCGTCGTCTCGCCCGTGTGCATCGCGAGGCCGTCGAGCCACGACTCGCTCGACGAGTCGGGCGCGTCCTGGAGGCGGCGCATCTTCGACTTGTAGGAGCCGTCGGCGAAGGCGCCGGCCTCGGCGGCCTCGAAGACCGTGGGGTTCATCATCTTCTTGAGCTCCTGCTTGACGCGCGTGTAGTTGGTGATGGAGGGGTCAGTCATGCGGCGCTTGGACCGCTCCTCCTCGGTCTGGTCCGCGAAGACGTTGAGGCCGAAGAGCGCGTGCGGGTTCTGCGTGTTCAGGGCGTCGATGTAGTTCAGGTTCTTCGAGAAGATCGTGAAGCGGTCGTTGTACTCGTGCGTCGTGTCGTAACTCTTGGAGTACTCGTCGATGAACTGGTCGAAGAGGCTCTTCTGGTCGCGCGTGTCGAGCGTGCCGTAGGTGACGCTCTTCAGCTTGGCGAAGGTCGCCGGGTCCAGCGTCTGCTTGAACTCCTTCGTCACCGCGACGGCCTCGAGGGCGCTCAGCGACTTGCCCAGGGCGAAGGGCGAGCTCGGCACGGTCACGGCGGCGACGGCCGTCACGACGAGGCCCGACAGGCCCAGGAACGTCACCACGCGCCGCCGCACGGGCGTCGCGTCGAGCTCTTCGTAGTCGCCGCCGGCCATCGTCGTGCGGGGGGCGGGGGGCGAGGTGCGACGCGGCTGGACCTCCAGGGAGGCTCGGCGTCTCGATGTGCGTCTCGAAAGGCGGAAGATTGGGTATCTGCATCGTGCAGCCCGTATCGACGGAAAGGCAGCCCCGCGGTTGGGACCGCGCGCCGCCGCCAGCGCCGGCGCCATGCCGGACGAGGGCACGGACGCCGACGCCATCGACCCGGCGACGAAGTGGTGGAACCGGCCCATCAAGCCGGAGACGGGCATCGGCACGCACACGCTCGACGTCGAGATCCTCGTCGCCGGCGACGGCTACCGCTTCCCCAAGCCGGGCAACGTCGTCGCCGTCCAGTACGTCGGCTACCTGCCCAGCGGCAAGGTCTTCGACTCGACCTACCGCCGCGGCGCGGCGCCGGCGCCGAAGAGAGATCGTCGGCGCACAATTCCGCGCGGCCGTTGCACGCGGGGCCCGCGCGCGCAGGCACGCCGTTCAAGTTCAAGCTCGGCCAGAACCAGGTCATCGAGGGCCTCGACACGGCCATCTCCCAGCTGAGCGCCGGCGAGCGCGCGAAGATCCGCGTCGGCTCCGAGCGCGCCTTCGGGAAGAAGGGCTTCCCCTACCTCGTGCCGCCGTCGACGCCGCTCGTCTTCGACCTCGAGTACCTCGGCTCCGAGTGAACTGTGTTGTAATATGTGTCGCTAGACGCGCGCCGCGCTCGCGGGGTTTCTCTCCCCTAGAGCGGCGCGCTGGCGCGCTCGCAGAACGCGCGGTACTCGTCGACGGCCGCGGCCTTGTCGCCGGCCGAGAGCGCGGCCGCGCCGGGCTCCGCGGGCGCGGCGCCGCGGCCCAGCGTCGGCAGCGGGTCCTCGTGGACGGCGGCCACGTGGTCGGCCCCCAGGGCGTCGACGACGTCCCGCAGGAGCGGGTCCGCGCATAGGCCGCCGCCGGCCGGCGGCTCGGGCGCGCCGGGCCCGAAGACGGGCCGGAGCGCGAAGCGCGCGTCCGACGGCGCCTGGCGCTCGACGACCTCGCGTACTAAAAGCTCCTTGCGCCGCTGCTGGCGCAGCACCTTGGCCTCCATGGTGCCCCGGGGCGCGACGAGGCGGTAGACGAAGACGGGCCGCTTCTGGCCGAAGCGGTGCGCGCGGCACATGGCCTGGCGGTCGAAGCACGGGTTCCAGCAGACGTCGAAGAGGACGACGCGGTTCGCGCCCGTCAGGTTGATGCCCTCGCCGCCGGCCTTGATGGACATGAGCAGCACGTCGCAGCCGTCGCCGCCGCCGCCGAGGCGGCCGCCCGCGGGCGGCGGCGTCACCGCGCGCTCCGGCGGCCGCGGCCGCCGCTTCCTCCCGCCGGGCGCGAAGGCCGGCCGGAGGCGCCGCGGTGGCTTCTTCGCGTCGCCCGCGGGCGCGGGCGTCGCCGCGTCGGCGGCGGCCGGCGGCGCGTTGAAGTCGTCGACGATGGCCGACCGCTGCGCCGCGGGCGTCGCGCCGTCGATGCGCGCGTAGCGGAGCTTCGCCCCGCTGTCGGCGGCGGCGTTGGACGCGTCGATGAGGCGCTCGAGCACCGCGAGCGTGCCCAGCGTCTGCGTGAAGACGATGACTCGCTCGCGGCGGCGCTTCGCGGCGGCCATGACCGCGAGCGCGACGGCGGCCTTGCCCGAGTGGGCCGCGACGTCCGTGTCGTAGGCGGCCCGGTCGCCGTCCTGGAACACGGGCCGCGCCCAGGACCGGAGCGACCCGCCGAAGCCGCTCCACTCGCCGCAGTCCGCGTCGTCGTCGAAGGCCTGCTGGCGGAACTTTTTCGCCTGCTTCTCGCGGCGCGCGTCGTCGCGGGCCTTCTGCGCCGCCGCGCGCGACGCCTCGCGCGCGACGACCTCGGGCGCGCGCCAGCCGGTAGCCTCGGGCCGCGCGCGCTTCGCCGGCGGCGCGGCGCCCAAACCGCCCGCGAGCGCGTCCGCGGCGCCGTCGTCGTCGCCGCCGTCGTCGAAGAGCCGCTCCTCCTCCGCGAGGGCGCCGTGGACGATGTCCGGGTGGTTCACGATGGCCAGCGCGGTATGGTACGCGGCGAGCTCGCCCCGCGGCGCCGCGACCTCGCCCGCGTCCGCCTCGGCCGTGAACAGCCCCGCGCTCTGCTCGAAGGCGTCGTAGAGCGCCCGCTGCACGGGGCTCAACGCGCACTCGACGACCCAGTCCGTCCGCGGCGGCAGGTCGTCGCCGAGCTCGTCCGTGCCTCGCCGGAGCACGACGTCCTCGAGCTCGCGCTGGAGGACGTAGGCGCGGCGCAGCGCCGTCGCGCCGTCGTGGTTGCCGTCGCCGTCGGCGCCGGCGTCGCCCGCCGCGCCCTCGAGGTAGTCGACGATGGGCCGCTCGAAGAACGCGCGGAACCGGTCGTAGGACCCGAGCGCCGCGGGCCGCGCGAAGGTCACGAGGGCCCAGTACTCGTCGAGGCGGTTCTGCACGGGGTAGCCGCTGGCCAGCACCCGCCGCCGCGTGCGGATGCGGCCCATGGCCTTGTAGAGCTGGCTCCGCGGCTCCTTCAGTCGGTGCGCCTCGTCGAGCACGAGCAGGCCGGGCCCCGGGTCGCAGAGCGCGGCGACGAACTCGGCCCTGGCGCCGGCGCCCCCCGCGAGCATGCGGAACATCTCGTAGCCCACGAGGAGCGCGCCGCCCTCGCGCTGCCACGCGGCGACGGCCGCGAGGCGCGCCGCCGCGCCGCCCGCCGCGGGCAGCGTCCGCGGCCGCAGCGCGCGGTCCCGGGGCAGCCAGCGCTCGATCTCGCCGAGCCAGTTCGATAAAACAAAGGCCGGGGCGATGACGAGGGCCGTGCGCCGCGGCGGGCCGCCGCCGAGCCAGCTCTTGAGCACGCAGATGAGCTGGAGCGTCTTCCCGAGGCCCATGTGGTCCGCGAGGACGCAGCCCCGCGCGTCGCCCTCCTCCGCCGGCCCGACGCACCGCTCCCACATGAAGCGCACGCCCCGCTCCTGGTGCGGCTTCAGGTGCCGGCTCAGGTCGCCGTCGAGGAACCGCGCGTCGTCGGGAGACGCGCCCGGGTTCAGCGCGAGGCCCGCCGGCGCCGCGCCGGAACTCCTCGCCGGCGCCGGCGCACCTAAGAAGGGCGCGGGTGGGCGCGCGCGCGGCCCGTGTCTCTCTCTGACGCGGCGAAGAACAGGCAGGGGATGAGGCTGCAGGTGCACGTCGAATTCGCGCTCGGCGCGCGGCCGAAGAGGGCGGCGAAGTCCTTCGGCGGCGCGTCCTCCTCGCCGTCGGACGAGTCGCTCATGGCGCGCTCGCGGCGGATGTGGCGCAGAGGCCACACAGCTCGCCCAGTGTGAGCGGCTCGTGCTGCTGCGACGCTGCGTCGCCCGCAGCGGCTTCCGCGCTGGAGCCCGGTCCCGCAGCCGGCGTACGACTGCGGCGGGACCGACCAGGGACGTCTCCGGCCAAGTGACTGGCGACGCGCTGCCGTGGACTCGCGCGGGCGCGGCGCGGCCGAGCCGCGGCGCGGCCGCGGGGGCTTTGGAGCCGATGCCGCGCCGACGGCCACGACCACGAGGAGACGCGGCCACCACAGCGCTCGAGGCGCGCCGCGCGGCGGACTTGCGCACGCCCCGGCTCGGGCTTGGTTAGGTTCAATTAGAACGGCACTGCGGTTACTTGCCTGCAAGTCTCCTGAACACAGCAGATTCAACGAGGTACCTAGGTGCGATCACCCACTTTTGGCGCATTGCACGCGCCGGCCCGACACGAATCGCGGCGCCATGAAGTTCGGCCACGACCTGGCGAAGGTGCGCCGCCCTCGCGTCCCTCGCCTCCCTCGCATGCCAAAACCTCGCCCCCGCGCGCGCGCGCCCGACGCCCGCACGCGAGAAGATCCCGCCGTGGCATCTCAGGTCGTGAACGTGAGCGACCCCGAGTGGGCGCCGTACTTCATCCAGTACAAGACGCTCAAGCAGCACATCAAGGCGATCCGCGCGGAGACGGACGCGCACGGGTCCCAGGACGGGAGCCCGTGCCGGAGCGCGGGCGGCGACTCGAGCCAGGCGGGAAGCCCCGCGCCCGCGGGCCGCGCGCGCGCGACGACGGAGGACCGCGTTGGCCTCGAGGACACGGGCGCGCCCGCGGCCCAGCGGAAGACGATGAGCGAGTCCGCGCCCGAGGTCGCCTTCTTCCGCGCGCTCCGCGCGGAGCTCCAGAAGTCGTCGAAGTTCTTCACGTCCGCGGAGCGCGTGCTCGAGATCCGGCGCGAGCGCGTCCACGAGGCGCTGCGCATGCTCAAGCGCGCCGCCGAGCCCTGCGGGGCGCTCTGCAAGCCCGGGCTCCTCGAGGACGACGACGCGCGCGCGCTGGCGGCGTGCGTCGCCTACTACCGCGACCTCCTGCTGCTCGAGAACTACGCGATCATCAACTACTGCGGCTTCTCGAAGATCCTCAAGAAGCACGACAAGCGCACGGGCTTCGCGACGCGGTCCCAGTTCATGCGCATCTGCGTCGCGCCGCAGCCCTTCACGCTCCACCCGCGTTTGCTCGACATGATCAAGGAGGCCGAGGATCTCTACAAGGAGATGGGCGCCGCCGCCAAGGCCGCGCGCGACGACCGCGCGGCCCGGAGCGCCCAGGCCGCGGGGGAACCCCCGGCGCCCGCGGCCGCGGCGCCGACGAGCCCGCCGTGCCCGCGCGACGAGTCCGACTTCATCGACGCGATCCTCAACCTCCGCGCGGAGACGTCGAAGATCCGCGCGGCCGAGGACCACCGCGCCACGGCGGGCGACACGCCGCCGCCGACGGGCGACGGCGCGGCCTTCCCCTTCGCGTCCGCGTCCCCCGCCCGGCCCCCGCCCAACGCCGCCGCCGTCGCGGCGAGCCCGCCGTTCCCCGTGCTCTTCGACCGCGCGGCCGACGGCGACGCGCCCGCCGCGAAGCGGCAGAAAGCCTAAGGTACTACCGCGGGCACCAGGCGCGCGCGAGGGGCGGCTGGAGGTTCGCCGCCGCGGCCGCGACGGCGACGCAGTCCGCGTCGTCGACGGCGTGCGCTTCGCAGAACCGCGCCGCGACGAGCTCCGCGTCGTCGCCCGCGTGGACGTCGAGGCGCCCCGCCGGGTCCTCGTCGCCGGGGAAGCGCACGGCCAGCGTCGCGGGCCGCCGGTGGTCCCAGAGCGCGTCCCGGACCTGCGCGGCCTGGCCGGCGACCTGCTCGCGGCACGCGGCGCCGCCCGGGCCGACGGCCGCGTCGCAGAAGGCGCGCCCGACGGCCGCCGGGTCGTCGCAGGCGGACACGGATATTTCGCGGACCTCGCCGGCGACGACGAGCTTGAGGACCTGGGGCGCGGGCGCGGGCGTTT